AGCGGTCCCTAAGAAAATATTTTCACCAGGCTCCAGTATAATTACTTAATATTGAATATCTTTTCCACACTATGGTTTACCTAATTTCAGCAGCCACTTGGTAAGGTGTTGTTTTCCAGACTTCCCCTTGCACTGTTTGCCCATCAGTCACTCTCACTGTGATGATATTGCTTGTATCCCCTTTTTTTCCATAAATGGAAAGTAGGAGCTGATGGTCTTTCTTCAGTATTTCAAAAAGCTTCAATCTTTCTTTTATGAAAATTGGTTGCTTCACCTGAAATTATAATGAGATTAATATATACAGCCTACTGTTTTCCAGCTGCTCAGCTCTGAATCAGCTTCACCCCCTCACTGCCTTCTCAGCTCTACAGATGCTCCCAATGTACCACAGTTTGAATTACAATTTTGTTGTTGTTGTTGTTGTTGCTCTTTGGTTTGTTGTTGTTGTTGTTTTGAGACAGTCTTGCTTTGTCATCCAGGCTGGAGTGCAGGGGCACGACCTCAGCTCACTGCAGCCTCTGCCTCCCAGGTTCAAGAGATTTTCCTGCCTCAGCCTCCCGAGTAGCTGGGATTACAGGCACGTGCCACCCTGCCAGACTAATTTTTGTATTTGTAGTAGAGATGGAGTTTCGCCATGTTGGCCAGGCTGGTCTCGAACTCCTGATCTCAAATGATTTTTGGCTTCCCAAAGTGCTGGGATTACAGGCATGAGTCACCATACCCAGCCACAATTTTTCAAGTTTAATGATGTTGTGAAAGTGATATGCATTCAGTAGAAACTGTACTTTGAGTATTCCATACAACCATTCTGTTTTTCACTCACTACAGTATTCAGTAAATTACACGAGATATTCAACACTTTATAATAAAATAGGCTTTGTGTTAGAGGATTTTGCCCAACTGTAAGCTAATGTAAGTGTTCTGAGCACTTTTAATGTAGGCTAGGCTAAGCTATGATGATCACTAGCTTAGGTGTATTAAATACATTTTAAACTCACATTGGTTTTATTGGGACATAACCCCACTGTAAGGCTAAGAGCATGTGTACTTTCCAACACCAAAAAGCTCCTCTCTGCCTATCTAATTTCTCCTTAGCTCTAAAGGTCCGCCTCAAAGCCCTCGTCCTCCACCTATTTTACCCACTGGGGCACTCCCCTTTTTTTTTTTTTTTTTTGAGACAGAGTCTCGCTCTGTCACCAGGCTGGAGTGCAGTCGCACAATCTCAGCTCACTGCAACCTTCTCCTCCCGGGTTCAACGATTCTCCTGCCTCAGCCTCCTGAGAGTAGCTGGGACTACCGGCGCCCGCCACCACGCCCAGCTAATTTTTTGTATTTTTAGTAGAGACGGGGTTCACCATGGTGGACCGGGATGGTCTTGATCTCTTGACTTGTGATCTGGCCCGCCTCGGCCCCCAAAGTGCTGGGATTATTGGCATGAGCCACTATGCCCTGCCCCACGCACCTCCCTTTTCTACTGTTTACAGAATGGGTACCACAGTCACACAATTACAGCACTTACTTGTACACCACTGAACTCTGTTCTCTAGTTGTTTGTCCTGAGTTCTGCCTTGAATTCCCTCAACAGACTAATTTTATTTGGGCCCAGATATTCCTCCTTCACTCTAACCAAATGTTGATGCTAGATAAATACTTACTGGTTGTTTTAATGCTTTATATACAAAAGCAAAGTGCTAATTTCCTGATACAAAAAACAAAAAGGCCGGGCCGCGTGCTCTCGGCCTGTAATCCCAGCACTTTGGGAGGCCGAGGCAGGCAGATTACAGGTCGGGAGATGGAGATCCTCCTGGTAACACAGTGAACCCCATTCTCTACTAAAAAATAAAATAA